GGCTTGGGTTGGAAGGGACTTCAAAGATCATCTCATTACAACCGCCAGGTTCCAATCCCTACTTCTGCAAACAGAAGGGGGAAGGTCTTATCCAGGATCTTACGAATCCTGTTAGAATATTTGTTTGGAAAGAAGCAAATGCAAACAGGATTTCCTTCTATTCAATACACTGACAGAACCCAGCTGCAATGCTGCTGGTGCTAACAGAAGGCAAGAAGGAATCTGGTATCATAAACAATTCTCCCACCTCAGCGGAGAGCACAAGAAAGGTAAAGAGAAGCAGGAAAGAAGTATTTTGAAGTGGGAAGGATGCAATCTAGCCTCCTAGCAGCACGTGTTGTGGATGCAACAAAAGATGCAAGCTGAAACCCCAGAAGGTGGTGGAGGTATCACCTCTGGAGGCATTTAGGAAATGTGGAGATATGGCACTTGGGAACACTGTTCAGTGGGCACAGTGAGGGTGGGCTGGGGTTGGACTTGATGGTCTTGGAGGTCCTTTTCCAACCTTAATGATTCTATGACATGCTTGCAGCTAACTCTTGCTCTGGCCACAGATTTGCAGGGCCACAAGGTTCTGCCATCTGCCAATATTTGACTTCCCATTGCCAAAGCACTTGTACAGAGGAGATGACAACATCTTACCAAAGCACAGTAAAGCTTCAATAGTTAGCATCTGCAAAGTGCACTGGACAGGCAAAGAGCTGAGAAATCATTAAGGTTGGAAAAGACCTCTAAGATCACCCAGTCCAATCCCTACCATACCCACTAATTGTCCCTCAGTACATCATCTCCACGTTTGTTGAATACCAGAGACAGTTGTTCCCTGTTCCAAGGAGCCTGTTTCAATGTGTTACCACTCTTAAAATAAACTTTTCCTAATACCCAACCATTCACATCCCAGTGCGAATCCACTCTGCTCCCTTATTCATTAAAAAAAAGAACTAAAGGGTGACCCACCACTGTGCAACATGGCAAACATCCTTCCATAACACACTTCTCCCACATCTTCCCAGGCATAACCCAAAAGCCACTGCTTAAAAATATAAAAATACTTGAATATACTTTTCATATGCAGAGCAGGAGATGGCTTAAAGCAGGAGGAGGTCTCTAGGTTTAACACAGGTTGGATATTAGGAAAAATTCCTTCACAGAAAGAGTGGTGAGGTAATTAGAATGAGTTGCCCACAGAGTCACCATCCCTGAAGGTGCGAAAGAGAAGGGTGGATGCAGCATTGAGGCACATGGTGAGGATGAGTTGGGGTTGGACTGGGTGATCTTGAGGCTCTTTTCCAAACTTGATGATTCTATAATCTCTGAAGGTTCAACCCTGGGTCAGCAGTGAAATAACAGAATCACCAAGGTTGGAAAAGACCTTCAGGATCATCCAAGTCCAACCATCCACCTATCACCAATAGTACTCACTAAGCCACGTCCCTCAACACAAAATCCAAACGTTCCTTGAACTGTGTCCTCAGTGAGTAAGCCTGGCACCTGCCTGTATGGCAGCATTTGAGCCTTTTGGCACAAACATCAATCCCAAACCCCCAAAAAACAGGGAGGCTGCAGCATGCATGCTTCATGTAGCCCCTGTGCTCCTCAAGTCAGAGATCACTGACATAACTGCAGTACCCCATTTCTGCTGCAGCACAACGTGGGATTGCTGAAGTCACAGCAGACTTGCAGAAAAGGCAAATCATCTCCAGAATGCACTCCCTGTACAATCTGCCCATATGTGTGGGGCACAAGCCCCATTTTGGGGGCAATGACCCCCACCCCACTGTCACAGCCATGCCCCAAGAACACCATCACCCCACTGCACATGGCCAGCTACTTCCTCCTGGACTCCATGCACCCCACAGGCATTTCTCAACCCATCCTCAACCCCATGGTGACATCAGCATTGAGCAAAGTGGGGCAGGGGGACATGGGGGGACTTGTGGGGTCATATGGGGACACAGGGACATGTGGAGTCAGAACCACAGAAGTGAGAGGAGCTGGCACATGGAGGTGATACAGGGAGGTGGCAGAATGTACCAGGAGTTTGAGCAGCACTGCAGGGCAGATGAGCAGTGCCAGCCCTACCTGGGGGTGATGGTGACACTCGAGGATGAGGATCTGCTATTGGTCTTCAAGCAGGTAGTTTGTTATCCACACATAATACCACCCTTTTTTTTTTTTCTTTTTTTTTTTTTTTTTAAATCAGTGACAGTATGTGATCTGATCCAACATCTTTGAAAAGTGTGGTTTAAGTATCATCAGCTGAGAACAGCAGCAGAACACGGGGCAACTGCAGGGAGAAGGCGTGGGGAGGGAAGTGAGGAAAGAAAGGAGAAAGCCTGAAAAAGGAAAGGGAAAGGCACAGGGATAAGGAAGGGAGCAAGGCATAGGGGAATGAAGGGGAATGAACAGAACAGCCTAAAAAGCAGCAACAAGTTCTGGGAAGACTGTAGAGTGTGAGATTCTGTATCAGGTGTGTATTTGTGTATGTAAGTTCTTATTACTTATTATTAACCCGATGTCAAGTGAGCCTGCAGGAGGCTGGAAGGCTCCACCACAAAATGCATACATAGCTCATGCATCCCATCCTGCTTGCTCAGCAGCAGCACCGAGGAGGAACCACATACAATCGCCATGCAGGAAAGACCCAAATCCTCATCACATCACATTTCACAGCACTTTTACAGTGGTATGGGGGCAGAAGTCATAAAACAAAAAGCTAATGGTGTGATAGAAACCATTGCCACTTTGCTCCTGGAAACGAATAACGGCAAAGTTGTGACCCACTCACTCAAAAAGAAGAAATAAATGAATTATTACATTTTGAAGGGCTGCATCCCTCTCCTGTCACAGGAGAAACCCAGTTCAGCAAACCCTCAGCCCAAATCCTGAGAGGAGTTCCATGACTGGGCTTGTTCAGCCTGGAGAAGAGAAGGCTGTGGGATGACCTCACTGCAGCCTTCCAATACCTGAAGGAAGCCTTCAGGTAGGGTAAAAGGGTAAAAGGTAGGAAAGGGTAGATAACAGCAAGACAAGGGGAAACGGTTTTAAGCTGAAGAAGTGAAAATTCAGACTGGATATCAGAAAGAAATTCTTTACTATAATAGTGGCGTGGTGCTGGAACAGGGTGTCCAGAGAGGCTGTGGATGCCCCATTCCTGGAGGCGTTCAAAGCCAGGTTGAATGGAGCCCTCGGCCAGGGCAGCCTGGTCTAGTATTAGATATGGAGGTTAGCAGCTCTGCCTGCAGCTTAATGATCCTTGAGGTCCCTTCCAACCCAAGCCATACTATAATTCTATGATCTTGCACTAAATTCTCACCCCTGGCCAACACCGAATTATTTAAGAAACACAGACACGGCAATGCAATCTACCCCAGAGAAAGCAGAAGCTCGTTTGCACTTCTCTGCTCACAGCCAGCTGCGACTGCCTGAGCAACTCTGGGCACCCGGCTGAGACATCCTGCCTGCAAGGGGACATTACAGAGGGGAAAAGACACCAAGCAGCCCCTCACCAGCATCTTTGTGATGCTCCTCAATCCCCACAGGCGACGCAGGTTCAGCCCGCGCCGCTGCTGAACAATGCAGTTTGGAATTCAATTAAAGTGATTATCTGTTGTGCCAAATAAATTGTGTACAGCATATATCCTGCAGCATTTTACACCTTCGGGCTCATTATTTTCTAACTGTTTCCTCCTGTTTATGCTCTTTCAAATTAAATTGCTGATAATACGCGCCAAAATAAAAAATGAGCGCACCTTGTCCGAAGAAAATTGATTCTCCTTTTTCCTGAACCGGGCGATTGCCAGGTTTTATATACTCTGTTCCTGGCGATCATTAGTAATTCAATTTTCTTTTTATTAGCCCCCTTATCTGCTGAGCAATATAGTGGCAGAGCTGACCTCTTTCGCACGGGTAAATGTTTAAAATCTTTTCCCTGATTAATTTTGCCAGTTAAGGAAAAGAGGAGAAATGGCCCGGCTCTTAGCCATCACAATGAATAAAGCTTAATGTTGATTGTGATGGAATTTCTAATGCCAAAGAAATTGATTGAACGCAGCAATTACACTGCAATAGTAACTCAAGGGAAATGGGATAGTTTTCTCCTGGCCATAGCCTTTTGGTTATTTAAAACAATCCAATTTGCAAGGATAATTATATATTAGTGTTTTATCTGCCACTTGAAATGAACATGGGAGTTTTGATACTGGCCCAGCATTAGCAGGTTATTGCTGCAAATTACTTGATATCTGCTTTCTTTCACATAAAGACGAAATTAGGCCATCAATAACCAGAAAAAGGTGGGCTGGGGAAATGCGAGGGGCACGAGTGCCCTCTGCAGGGCTGAGGGGAAGGAAGGGCAGCAATCAACTCCCCAAAATCCCAAATCTTCCCCATTATTGGAGAACATCACGCAGCTCCACATTGGGCATACAAAGAATAGGCACAGCCCAGCTCTCCTGCCCCTCTCACACCCAATCCTTGCCAAAAATAAAAAAAGAAAAAGTCATTTTAAGCCATTAGTTCTAGTTTATCCTATAGTAAAATCAAGGCAATAAGAGACAACAGTGCCAAAAGTCCAAGCAGGATGAATTCGACCAGAGCAGTGCCACTGCATGGAGGGCAAGCATTGATTTTTGCAGCTTGCAATTGCAACCACTCGTCTGTTTTTAAATGAGCTGAGAAGGGGCTTCATCCTGCAAGACACCAATTGTTACCCTCATAGCTCCCAAGTGGCTGCTGGTGGAAATAAAAGGGGCTTTCCTATATCCACACCTGCAGTACAGGAGGAACAGGAACATCCCTTTGACACCACTTTTGGGTCACGCAGAACTCAATTGAAAGTTAGGATTTGGCCTTCAAACGTATCACCAGATGATGATATTGCCATGCTTTGGTGGGGGATAACTCCCCCTTCACTTCACAAAAACCCAACTGTTGCTGCTCAACCTCATCCAACAACACATGGCCAAACAGTCTGAAGGAGACTGTCTGAAGCATTGCCATTCCAGCATGCACTTTGCTATTTTATTACACTGGCTGATTTGCTGCAACAAATAAGCAAGGGAAGGCCAACTCAGGATAGACATTTGACATTTAGACAACATAAATACAACATACCATTATTGGCAGGAAAGCTGCTCAGTAAATGACTGAACAGGAGTCCAGGGTTTATTCTCTGCATCAAAACTTTTGGTGTCAATGTCCTCCCCCCCCCAAAAAAAAAACAAAACCAAACCACACCAATCAGTTGGGAGAACTGCAACCAGTGGAAACTTCACTCAAATCTTAATTATTCAACTGCACCTCCTCTATACAGTCTAGTCTGCCCCCTCTATAGAAAAACACATAGAGGAAGCATGTTTAGGCAGGAGCCTGGTCCAGATTCCAAATGAAGTGGACACCATGCATAAATTGGGATGCCATCAGCTTCATCAAGCCACAGGGTTGGCACCTGAGTGAGTTCACAACTTCCAAAAAAGCAATTATCTCCAAGTTCCCCTTCCCTTCAAAAAGAGCTTATGAACTTAAGCAGGAAGGAAAAAGAAAAGAATACTTTAATATTAATGATTCATTAATATTAAGCACTAAGTTGTCAAGTAGTCCAAAATCTAAAGGCTGTTTTATCAACATTAATTTGGCTCAACATTTTTCATTCCTCTTTGCTTTGGTCACACACACGAGATCTTCCTGTGTACAAACAGCCCCCACACAAACCTTCTGTGGATTAGGCAGTTATCTGCATTAGAAATGCCATCCCATTAGATCAACTTCAGTTTGGGACATATCCCAATTCTGAGCACCCTCACTCATCCCATATTCAAGTGAAATATTTCAGAGTTACTTTATGACAGCTCCAAGCTCATTCACAGTGAGAACAACCCATCAGTTTGTGACTTTCCATTTCCACAAATGCCAAATGAGGAACATCTGAGCTTCCTCGAGTTCTCATCCAGATCCTCACATAAAAGTAGGGAATGCTGCCTTGAAAATATCCTATCTCTGTTTTAGCACCCAACAGTTTCTTTGTTGGCCACACAAGTGTCACAGCCTTCCAGCTCACCAACTTAGTGCTCAGCCTTCACCAAGCGACAACCAAAGTTCATTCTGCAATTTCAGAGCTGTCAGGACTTTTGCTGAATTTCTCTGCCAGCTGAAGAAGCAAAGCAGCTGTGCATTGCCTGGCAGCTGCCTCCCCGTGCAGAGCTGCTGATGGCACACAAAGGAGCATCTGTCAAGTCCTGTGGGATCCCTGAAATGGAGGTGCAGCAGAGGTAAGAACACCAGCAGCCATACAGCCATATGATACTTGTACTTTTAAGAACCAAATCAAGATGTTTTTCAAGCAGGTGCTGCAGTTTGCAAAGAAAAAGCCACACAGCATAAACACCAGCCTCTGTAAAGCAAATTCTTATTTCCACACTTATCAGCCCAGACAACAAAACACACAGATCCAAAATGGAAAACAACATAAGTCACTTTGACAGCTCACAACCTCATAAATCAGGCTTTGTTACCACGCATCAGAAGTACCTTGATCATTTGATCCATTTTGGGCAGGGGACTGAACTAAATGCTCTCCCCAAGTGACTTCCAGCCCTATTTTTCATTTTTCTCTTTTTCTTAAGCTTCTTTGTTTGCATTCCTCCACTTTGATAAAAGCCAGGAACGCAGCTGTATTTCTGCAATATCTACATATTTTCAGGCCTACGTGGTTTAAGATATAAATCTTTTCACCATGGGACTGTTCATTACCTTCAATCAAGGAACTAGGATTCAGCACACATTCCCCAAAAGCACAGGCTGCTGGCAGCTGACAGTCATGCTCCCAGGAGAGCAGATTTTGATCTATTTTGTGTATTCTCAGCTTCATTTTGGCTGGGCACACACTTCTGCTGAGAGATAAAATGAAGAGATGCTTGCTAAGCCCCAGACAAGCCTCAATGGCAGCTCAGAGCCTCCCCAAAGCTGCAGCACTCTGACCTCCTCTGCTTCCCACTGCAGTGCACACAGCTGAGCAAACTCTGCTCCCTGCATAGCACTGTGGTTCCACCTACACAGAGCAAAGATGTGGTTTAACCTCAGGTCCTGAGCACCACAACAGCTTATAGCCCTGTAAACAACATCTCTATTTCCTCAGGCTGTTGCAACCCTAAATCCCTCTCCAAACAGCAAGATGTAAGCTGACATCACTCAGTGAAGCAAGACTCAGCTCCAAAATCATGGAACACAATGGTGGAGCATCAGCATGAATGCAGTTACATGGACGTCCACTTTTCCTTACCTCCTTACAAGCCACATCTGCATCCTCAAGCAACAGATCCAAAATTCTCCTCACAGCATCCTTTCCATTCCTCCAAATCTTTCTTCAAACACATGCAGTAAAAATAATATTTTTGTAAGTTATATTTTTCTTTTCCTCCCATTAAAGAAAGAAAAAGAAAATCCTCTTTCTCCTGAATCACAAGCCCCCGTTCTTGTCTTTTGGTCTGTCCAAACACAGCAACATCTTAACACAGAGCTATTTGAACCAGAAATAATTACAATTACATGTGTAAATTCAGTAATTAAAGCGCAGCTTTACCTTCTGAGGCAAATTGCAGCTATCGTGTAGCCCAAGCAGCCTTTTCTCTATTCAAGCAATACCTATGATAGCACCACTATACCAACGAGCTCAGCATAGGCACATAATCAAAATGTACTTGTACCCACTTCAGATTAAACTGTGGGTACACTTCAGATTAAACTGTGGGTGATCATGTTGACACTAAACAAGAGAACCTGACTTCAAAGCCAGAAGCATCATGATGCTGCTTCATGTACTCCTCGGTGCAACTCTGCCAGCCCTAAGAAGTCAGTATCTGCTCTGACTATGAACCCAAACCATAAGGGACCCAATATTTCTTTAACAACTGCAATTATAGCCATATTCAATACAAAAGACATCTCACTGGGACACAGGTGTGCTTGCTAACTTCCAAAGGAGCATCTCATGACGTGACATGAAAAGCACAAGCTTTTCTCCTGTGCAAAAAGAGAGATCAGTCTTGTAGATGTACTGCTACTGCCTCTCACTTGCCTGAGCATCTTCCAATGTGATGCTTGCACATCTAGCAAAACTGCATTCAGAACAAAAAGGAAGCTTTGAAATGACTCTATCTGGAGCTGTCAAAGCACAGCTCTGGGTTAAGGCAGAAGCCATACTCCATCCAGAACTCCTCCCAGTTTGTTCCAGGACCTATAACAGCAGATCTCCCAGAGGACACGATAACCAATTTTCCAATTCCAAGAGCCTCTCTTGGAGCTGTTTTCAGCAAGCAGCTTCAGGATGCCTGTTCCTACCTTCCCTGGAGGAGCCCTGGTTCCTGGCAGTCGGCAGCCTGCAGAGCCTGTGCTTGGTGATCTGCACCAGCCCCTTGGGCGAGGAGCGTTTTGGAGTCACAGAAGCTTTTCCCCGCAGGGTGTTTTTCTTCCTGGGATGGAAGGGGCTTTTCAGTGGTGTGGTGAGCAAGGGACTGCTCTTCTTATCCGCTGGGTAGCTGTGAATGCAAATACCAGACTGTTAGAAGAGGGTGGGGGTGTGACTGAAACACAGTTGGTCCTCTTGCTCACAACTGAAACGGTGGGTCACCAAGCTCTGTTTCTCCTCCATAATGCTGCCCTGTAAGAAGCACTGAAAAGAACACTGCAAGAAAATAAGTGAATCTAAGGAATTTCTGGCAAAGCACAGATGGAGCATGAGGTGTTTGACAGCTTGACTCAACTCACTTCTGCTTAAGAGATGCAGAGGAGGGAATGGTGTCCTTCAGAGGGATGACAGGATCCAAGGAGAGGACCTGGGAAAAGGTACTACCCAGTCCCATAGCAAAGATCACACATCTGTGCCACTGCCTCCACTTCATCCCACTTATCCTTTCCTTAAGCCCACCCTGGCTCGCATACAGCCCTGATGAAAACATCAGCACAGAACACAGCTTTTCCACCAGGAAGTCCTTGCAGCACTTCCATGACACTTTCGGGGAAAGTTTGATCCCAACCCCTTTATTTCCCCTCCAATTCCAGTCCAGATAACTCAGCCCATACACCTTTTCCTTCTGCCACGCTTCATTTTTTAATCTTGCCCTTATCAGACACAGGGATAGTGGAAAAATCATTCCAGAAGAATCTCAGCTGCTTCAGCACAACACATTTTCCCAGGATAGCACAAACCTGACACCAACCCTACAAGGAGAAGAGTAAGAACATTCAGGGAAGATGCTTGGGTTGCAGTGGTGGACAGCCCAAAAAGAATAGTACTAAAAGCAGAGAGCACTGCAGATCTATCAGATTTACAGCTAGGCAGCATTTCTTTCCAGCACACACAGCCTGCACAGCTCAGCTTCTGTCTCCTCTTTGTCCCTGTGCATTTTACAGGCACAGATAACAAAAGGTAAGTGTGATCCAAGTCTGTTCTCCTTTCACCAGCTCCCAGTGCAACAAAACTCTGAAAATAAATCAATAGGGAAAGTACCTATTTCCCTCTCTTTTAATATTGGTCTGTTATCCAGGCCATGGAGAAGCCTGGAAAGTGCTGAGCTGAAGTCTTTGGAGAAAAAGGAATGGGAGACAAGTTCTGTTTGAAAAATTAAATTCTGAGTTACCCAGACTGATAAAATAATTAAAATATCAGTCCTTGCAACCCTGAAAAACAGGATTCCTCCATAGAGAACAAAGTCACAATAGCTGGAAAGGGGAAAGCAAACAGATCCACCAATATACAACAAGTCTCACTGTAATTTCATTCATATCTATGCCTGTAACTTCTGTGCAGTACACATTATTCAACACAGAAGAGATCCTTTGTCCCAGAGGTATAAAGAAAAAACTGTTCCAGCTTCACTTAAAGCCTATGGACATGTGCAGTGACAATTCTTCTGAGAAGACCAGCAACTCGACATGGTTTGGTGACACGGTGACGGTTAAACATGATGATCTTAGTGGTCTTTCCAACCTTCATGTTTTCTATGATCTTACCTTGAGCTTGCCTTCCTCTTGATGATTTTTGTCCGACTCTTCACTTTATAACTGGTAAGCACAGCCTCACCTAAGGAGGGATTCACTCCAACTGATGTTTCGCTGGGAGGCAGCAGGTTGAAGGCTGAGGACATCTTCTGATCCTCCGACTGCCACCTGAACGCTGACTTGGATGTGGAGGGCGAAGCCTGCAGGCTGGAGGCTTTCCACTTATACTTGCTGGGAGAAACACCCACTTTGGATTGCAGCCCCGATTTCTTCACCTTTGCTCCCAAATCTGTCTTTGGAGATATTTTTGAACCTCTCTCAGCTCCACCAGTGATCTTCTTAGCGCTGTCAGAAGCTCTCGGGCTGATCCATCTCTTCACAGGACGAGAGCATTTACTAGGGTTTGCAACCCAGGTATAATTGGTTTTCCTGAACTTTGAAGCTTTGCTGGAGACCGTCGCCGAGGCAGCTCTTTGGAGATTGGAAACTTTGGGGATTACAGAAAACTTGTTCTTTACTGGAGACATCACAACTGCCGAAGTCAGTGCCTGAGTCGGTTTAGAGTGCATCTCTGCATTTCCAAAGAGCTTTGGCTCTCTGTGAACGTCCTCAACTTGCTCCCAGCTGCACTGCCCCAGAGCGGGTGGCTCTGGCTTCCACCACATCGATTGCTGAGCCTGCTCACAGCTTGGCAGAGCTGACAGTGGCTGTGGCTCTGTTTTCAGTGTGACAGCGCTTTCGCTGGCACTTCTGGAGCTTTCAGCCAGGTGCACCTTTCTGGGATTGTCAAACGGGTAGGATGAGCTGACAACGCGGTGAGACGAGCTAAATGAAACAGAGAGAGAAGGCTTTGGCTCTTCTTCTTGGTTTGTGTACAGAGGAATGGAAGAATCCTGCACGTTACCATCATCCGGAGCAACAAGCTCTGTTTTAAGCCCAGAAACATCACAATAAACACTCGCATCATTAAATCCTTCAGTACCTACAAGACCAGTCTTCTGTGTCACCTGGATGCCCACAACGATGTTCCCATCAGTTGTTAAGTCCACTTGTCTCTCTGGGGACGCTGCTGATGGCATGGCTGCCTGGCTGTCTTCGTTGCTCCCAAAAGCTCTGGATGTGGTGGCATTCCCAACATCACACCCTGGTCCTGAGGGCTGGTTCACAAGGGAGTATTTCTTCCTCCAAGAGTGAGCTCGGCGTGGCTGGAAGTCCCTGGGAGGCTGCAGCTGGGGATACCGGGCTGAGAACGCTCCCCTCCTGCTGAATGGGGCCTGTGTGGTGTTGCTCCACATCCGTGGAGCAGAAGACAGCGGTCGTGGCACATCCCCATGGGTGTTCCTGTGGTTGTCTATGAGACCTGAAGAATAGAAGACAGCATTTGTTAATTGTCAATCCCAAGGGGGAGGTTTCTAACATCACAGCTCTACTTTTCCTCACACTGCAATGAGGACGATCACTCACTTTGGCCAGATTTTAGGTAAGTGGTGCTAGAAAATGAAAAACAAAAAAAAACACCACGCACACACACACAAGAACTTGAAAACAATTATTTTCTTCAATCTTCATGAAAACTGGTAACTAAAGTGATACAGCATGACAGCAGGTCTGATGTACAAACAGACCTTTAACACACACTTCATTACTGCTGTTGGCCACCTTCTGATCCTTTATACTCCTTTTTGTTGGAGTGTGCCAGCACCAAAACAGACCATCAGAATTCTTGTTTTTGGAGCCTAACGAAATGAATTATTTCAGAGCAACCTCTGAGCCCTGCTACAAGGTTGGCAGGAGGGTTCCACTTACACTGGGCTGCTTACACACATAGCACAGTGCAAGCCCAAAATATAAAGTAACAATGAGGAAGATCCAAAGCAGCCCCAGCTTTGTACTGAGTCACTGCACCTTCATCCCTTTACGACGTCACCATACCCCCTGGTGTTTTGGGCTCCTAATTAGCAGCTGAGCTAATCAACACGCATGGATTATGGAGGGTCTGCCTAGTGCTTAGAAAACATTTTCAACAGAAGGGATTGCCAAAGGATTTTAAAGCCTTATATGTAGGTGTCAACATGCTCCAGCATGAAAATTTTTTTCCTACTGCCCAACAAGAGGGTTCTTGGCTGAGGTAGATAGCTGCAAAGCATTTCTAATGTGGAAAAATTACCTTGGGGGGCTACAAATAGAGCCAGTTATTTCTAAGAACGAGCATTGATGCTCTCCCAAGCAAGGAAAGGGTATACAAATACACCCACTCCTCCCCCACAAAGCTGATGAGGAATCCAAGGAATGAGGACAAGGGACACAGCCCCATTCTGTGCCACCTGGGGATTCCAAATGTTGCTCCTGAACATGACAAGGAACTGTTGGGACATGTCCCTCCCAGGAGGGTGACATGCACTGCAGTGTGCGGATGCCCAGAGGTCTCCACCTACCCCTTACCCTCTCCCACCCAGGTCTCCTATATTCTCTCCCCAGACCCAACACTCCTGAGCCCTCTCCTCTCCCCATCTCCATCCAGAAAACCCAGGGCCGCCATTTCCTTTGCATTCCTAGGCCTTCTCCACATCCTTCCATCCCTCTTCTCTACCCCCAGCCTACTCCTTTTCTACTCCTGAAGACATCTGCCTGCCCCCACACACCTCACAGGCCTGCTGGACATCCATACATACCCCTGTATCCCAGGAGCCTCCTGGCAACCCCCACAGACCCCTACCCACCCCAGGAGCCTCACATCCCCCTACGGCTTCTTGGTGGCCACCACAAGCCGCAAACACCCAAGGAGGCCCACGAAACCCACGTACCTCAGGTGCCTCCGAGCTATTCTCGCGAGCCTGACGGACATCCTGGCTACCCCCCACAATACCACGCGTCCGAGGAACCTCACGACTTCTCCCACAGGCCCCACGCACCCCCACGAGCCTTCTGGCTACCTCCCACACACGCCAAAGGCCTCCTGGCTGCCCCCACGGACCCCATAGGCCTTCCTCCTACTCCCACGCCCTCCACGCACCTCCTAACCGCCCCTCGCGGTCTCCAAGCCTCCCCCAGGCCCAGCCCTACCGTACCCTGCAGCAGCCGGATCTCTCTCCGCAGCCTCTCCCTTTCCTCCATCCCTGCAACGTTCCCGCAACGCCCCACACGCGTTACGTCATCATCCCGCGACAGCCGGTATGGCTCGCTCACGTGACCTCGCACCGTCACGTGACGCCCGCGGGTCGGTGAGAGCGTTGCTTGGCAACGAAGGAGGCTGCGGCCTAGCGTGCATTCTGAAGCCTGAAGTAGGCTGCGGCCTTGTTCTTCTCTCTCTTCCATCCCAGTCCGGCCCGGT